CCTTTAAACAGCTCCCAGCTACGTACCAAGTGTCTTAGCTCGGCCCGTCCCCTTCCGTTAGTCACGGCCTGGACAGTCCTCATGGCACGTATCTGTTTACGTATAGTCACGGCTTGACACACCTAGTGTCCCGAAAGATGTGTGTTGATTTATAGCGTTACAATAATATCAATTCGGCATCCGAAGTCACATTGGCATTAAACACAAAAGTTAATTTTTACGTTTAGATCTATCAATTTATCTAAGTGCAGGATTCCACAGCAGAAGCCTTTATGGCCAAGTTGGTAAGGCACCTCACTAGTAATGAGGAGATCGTCAGTTCGAATCTGGCTGAAGGCATTTTTGCTTCGCACATTGATTTTTGATGTTCATAAGGTGCATTTATATGCGTTCTCAGCGGAAGCTTGATGCCACCATTCGGTCAGCAGATCATCCCCAGCAATCATGAACCCGCCACTTTCCCTACCGCCCAACTTGGCAACACAACCCCCGCTGTCAAAATCGAGCAACATAGCAGCCACACAGGTGTCTTCTGCGGAAATCTTGGCCGATGCCCATGATATCAAGCAGACCGATTTCCGCAAACCAGACCTGAATATCCAGGACCTCGATGAGCTCAGGCTGTTTCAGCTTGCGAAGCGTAGAGACTATGAGCAGCAACTCAATAAAAACAGACTTAACTATGGCCAATGGATGCGGTATGCCAAGTGGGAAATTGAGTTCAGCCACGATTTGAAACGTGCCCGGTCAATCATGGAGCGGGCCTTGGAGGTGAACGTCCAGCACGTACCTTTCTGGGTCAGGTATATTGAGCTTGAGCTCTTGCACAAAAACGTGAATCACGCCCGCAATCTCTTGGACCGTGCAGTGACCATATTGCCCAGGACAGACAAGTTCTGGTTCATGTACGTGCAAACCGAGGAGACTTTGGGCAACTTTGCAGGTGTGCGGCTGGTATTCGAGCGCTGGCTCCAGTGGCATCCCAGCGAGCTGGCCTGGGACTCGTATGTTCTGTTTGAGGAGCGGTATGGCGAGGTGGAAAACGCCCGTGCCGTCTTGCTCCGGTATGTGGTCGAGTTCCCCACCGGCGACACGTGGAAACGCTGGCTTCTACTTGAAACGATGCTACCAGTGGTGGACGACATGCAGGTGGCGAAAACTCGAGGTGTTTTCGAGGCAGCCTTGGACACGTTGCTTGCCTCCGGAAAGTCAGGTGCAGACCGAAGCATCCCGGGCATTGTTTTGCTTTGGGTGGACTGGGAAACCAGCGTAGGCGAGGCCGAGCGAGCGCGGGCGATATTGGCCACAGCCCTCGATTCCGACTTGCTTCTGAAGGAGCAGAAACTCGAGGTGTTGCGGACCTCGGCCCATTCTTCGGGCGTCGCCGCAAGTCTTGGTTCGCCGGGCTCATCGGGTGCAGCATTGCCGTTGAAGAATCGCCTTCGTTTGGAGAAAGCCGTGATGGAAAACCCCCGGGACTACGACTCCTGGTGGGAGTACGCCAAGCTCCAAGAACTGGCGCTCGGGGCCAGGCACGTGATGGACATACTTTCGAAAGCCGTGGAACACTGCCCCTTGGACGAGCTCAAACTGACCACATGGCGCAGATACGTATATCTCTGGATCAAGTTGGCCTTGTACCACGAGTACGTGGCGAAAGACATCCCAGGAGCGCGAGAAGCCTGGCGTAGAAGCCTCCAGACGGTCCCCCACGGCAAGTTCACGTTCGCCAAACTATGGGCGATGTCAGCCGAATTCGAGCTCCGCAACGGCGGCGGGCTCGCCAAGGCCCGCAAGATCCTAGGCCTGGCCATCGGCCAGTCGTGCAAAGAACGCCCAAAGAGAAAGCTCTTCAAGTACTACGTTGAATTGGAGAAGCGGCTCGGTGAGTTGGAGCGGGTGCGCAGAGTGTACGAAAAGTGGCTCGAGAGCTCGTTGGTCTGCGACAGGCAGACCGGCGAGGCGCAGAGCGTGGCCGTGCTCCAGCAGTACATCGACTTCGAGAAGTCCGTGGGCGAGTCCGGCAGATGTGTTGCGCTTTTCGACATCGGGATCTCCGGCGAGTTCCCCCCGAGCGGTGTTTTCTTCGATGCTTATATCGACTTTCTCAAGGACGAGTTCCGGTACGACAAGGCCCGCGAGGTATACCGGGCCAGGCTCGGATCGGCGGGCTCTTGGATCCAGCTTGCGCTTTTCGAGTCGAGCATTCTTTCGCCCGAGCAGATGGACGAGCTCGAAAGAGCGGACAGTGACGAGGTGCGCTTCGAGGTCGGGGAGCACCATTTGCGGAGCACCAGGGCGATATTCTCCGAGGCCTACGCGCAGTTCAGAGACGCCCAGGATGGCGCCAACGCCACGCATATAGTGGAGGCGTGGCTCGAGTACGAGAACATGCATGGCAGCCGCGAGCAAGCAGAGCAAGTCAGGGCCAAGGCGCCCAAGCAAATCACGAAACGGAGAGGGTCCGGCGGCGTCGAGGAGATCTACCACGAGTACGACTTCCCGGAAAGCGCGCCGAACCTCAGCAGGTTTTTGGCCAAAGCAAAGCAGTGGGCGTCTACAACCACGGGCTGAAGGCGCTTCTCCGCGCGCCCCATGTCTACGAGTCCGAGGGCAGAACCGGCTGGCCTCGTGCTCCATACTCCAGCTGTGTATTAAGTTTAAGTCGGGGCCTACATACCGCCGCGTAGGGTCAACACCAAGTGCAAGGAGGTGCCCGGCTGGATCCCTGCGGCCTCAACGGTGAGCTCGTCGTCCAACTGCGAGCCGTTGAAAATCAAGCGCTGCTGCGCGGGCGGAATGCCCTCTTTTTCCTCCATAATTTCCTTGATGCGGATCACCTTGTCGGTGGGCTCAACGTCCACGGGTATGTCTCTTCCAGTCAAAGTTTTGACCTTTACCTGCATGATTCGGGTGTGGACGCGGGGAAGGGATGGACACGGGGAAGGATGGGCACGGGGAACGGATGGGCACGGCGATGCTATGAACCTGGATGGCGTGCCTGAGGATAGGGCGGGGCGAACCTGAAGTCTCAGTGGCAGAGGCCCGGTGGCCCCGGCCGGTGGGGCCCAGGGTGTGCGCGCCTCTGCGCAGGGCCGTGGCACTGGGGCCATCCCATTCTGGCCCCGGCTCTGGCACCCCGTGGCGGGCGCTGAGCCCCGTGCTGTTTTCCCCCGCAAAGAACGGTGGTCCTTCCCGATTTGGGGAAGCCCGGAAGAGCCGCTTTTTTTTCCACCGATCCATGCGCAAATGGCGGCCCTGGGCACACCGCCAATTCGGCCCGGGCGCACCGCTAATTAGGGCCGGGGCGCTGCACCGCAGCGTGAGCGCGGCCCATCTCGAGCAGGGCCGTTTCGCGGCAGGGCGAGGCCCCATCTCTGAACCTCAAAGAGAAGCACCGGTCCAACCCCCCCGATCCTGAGCACCCCCGTCTTGAGATCCGTTGGCCAATACGCTGAATCTGACACACCCCAGCCGCATAGCACTGCATTCTCAGACTTCCCGTCGGAGACCACTGCAGCCTCGAAACACCCCATTTCCCCACGCCCTGGCACCCATTGCCCAGTGCAACCGAAGCCCCCGCCCATCGTGGACCGCGGCACCATGCTTCCCACGCCGTACGTCCGAAATCTCGACGAACGCGTCTACGACCCCGCGGAAGACTCCTTCCTTCTCCTCGACGCCTTGGAAGAATGCTTGCCGCAGCTCCGGCTGCGCCAGTTCCCCGTGGTGTGCGAGATCGGCGCGGGCTCAGGCATCGTGTCGGCCTTCTTGAAAATGCACGTGTTTCCGCACGGGCTTTTCTTTGCCACCGACGTGAACCCCGCCGCGTGCGACACGATCGTGGCCACCGTCAGGGAGAACGACACCGCGTCGCGCTTCGCCACGCTCGACGTGTTCCAGATGAGCCTAGCGCTGGCACTCCGCAGCAACCACATCGACGTGCTCGTGTTCAACCCGCCGTACGTGCCGGCGGAGGCGGTGCCGGAAAGGCCGGCGGCAGCCGCGGACCCCGCGTGGCTCGACTTGGCGCTTCTTGGCGGGTCGGACGGCATGGTGGTCACGTGGCAGGTGCTAGATGGGTTGCACCGGCTCCTTGCCGCGGACGGCGTGGCGTACATCTTGTTCTGCGCACGGAACAAGCCCGACTCCGTGGCACGCGTCATGGAGGATAGGGGCTGGGCGGTGCGCACGGTGTTGCACCGGAAAGCCGGCTGGGAGGTGCTCAGCGTGTTGGAGTTTAGGAGAGCGTAGCTGGGAGGGGGAGGGACGTGGTGGTGGAGGGGCCTCGGCGATCGGAGAAGGTGATTGGGGGCCAGTCGAGAATGGCACCTTTAGATGGTGGAGGCGTGTGGCTGGACGGCTAGCCGTCCTCCAGCCCAGCTGGCCACGAGACCAGCGGAGCCTCAGCCCACGTGGGTGGGATCAGGCTGGTACGACCTGTTTGGGCACGCGGCCTGCCGGTTTGGGTGAACACTACGGGGCCTGCCGGTTTGGGTGAACACTACGCGGCCTGCCGGTTTGGGTGCATACTACAAGGCCAACTGGCCAAAGAACCCGCTGGCGCCACTCGACACTAGTTGTGGGAAAGCGGGCAAGACAGTGGGCGAGGCCGTGGGCGAGGCGTCCTGCCTGCTTGCGGTGGGCCGGAGGAGCCTGCGCCTGGGGCCCTACCCTGCTGTGCGGCGTGCGATTCGGGTGTGGAGAAACGGCCCGGGCCGCTTGGCCATGGCCCCGAGGACCCTGGACTACTGACGGCCCGTGTCACTGGTGAAATTAGCGATGGAGCGGGGGGCCTGCGGAGACCCGGTGCGCGGTGCTCAGGGCTGCGCACAGCATCCAGCAAAAACGGCGAGTCGCCGGGTCGATTCGGGCCTGGAGCGCCCGGATACGGCTGGCGACGGCCATCCTCAACATGGCGTTGCCGGGGCGAGAAACGGCCCACCTTCCGCAGAAAATACCCAGGGCCAGTTCCAGGGCCAGTTCCAGGGCCAGCTTCAGGGCCCTCGTGCGCGCTCCAGGCCCCAGGCCCAGGCCCGCACCAGACTGCCATGTTCCAGGGCCACACCCAGGGCCACCCAGGCCCGCACTGGTGCCCGCACTGGGCCCGCGCCAGGCTCGCGCCTGCACCTCTGCACCAGCATCGGGCCTGCTCAGCTTCGCATCCCCACCACCCATCCGCCCCCATCTCCGCCTGTCTTCGCCATCTGCCCCCACGCCCATCTCCCCCACGCCCGCCACCACCACACCGCCATGGCCGACAGAGGACGGCCCACCAAATGGGGCGGCAAGTCCGCGCGCTTCGTCGAGCTCGGCGGCCTCAAGTTGGACACCATCGTCACGGGCCACTTGACCCAGGAACAGATCAACGCGTACCAGCAGTATTTCCGCGTCGAGGAGATCTCGCACCTCTTGCGCAGGGCCCGGGCGCCCGGCGCGTCGCTCCCGCTCGTGTTGCCGTCCGCCAGGGTGCCCGCGTTCAAGCGGGACCCGTCGCCGCCGCCCCAGTACGACGCCAGCGGCAACCGCACCAACACGCGCGAGCTCCGCACACACGAGCGGCTCGACAAGGAGCGGCACGCGCTCGTGGAGCTCGCGGCCACCACGATCAAGAACTACGACCCGCCCGCGGACTACAAGCGGCCGGCCAAGACCCTGGAGAAGTTGTACATCCCGATCCAGGACTACCCGCACATCAACTTCGTGGGCTTGCTCCTCGGGCCGCGCGGCAACACGTTGCGCCAGCTCCAGGAGGACTCGGGCGCGCGCCTCGCCATCCGCGGCAAGGGCTCCGTCAAGGACGGCAAGCTGGCGGACTCCGGCGGGCCGCTGGCGCCGGAGGACGGCTTGCACGTGGTCATCACCGCGGACACCTCGGCCAAGATCCAGCGGGCCGTGGCGCTCACCAACGAAGTCATCGAGAAGGCCGTGTCGTCGCCGGTGGGCCAGAACGACTTGAAGCGCGACCAGCTCCGCGAGTTGGCCGTGTTGAACGGCACGCTCCGCGAGACGAAGCCCTACGTGCCGCCGGAGCTCTTCGGCGCCCAGCGCCGCCCGCCGGGCCGCGACATCGCCCTGATCGTGTGCCGTGTGTGCGGCAGCGTCGGGCACTACTCACGTGACTGCACGCTCCGCCGCCTGGGCCCGCCCGTGGACTCCTACAGCCCGGACGCGCCGCCGAAGCGTCCCCACGCCGACGATGCGCCGCCCTGGAAGCGCCTGCGCACGGACCCCCTCCTGCCGCAGGCGCCGCCCTGGGCCAGCCACACGTATCCGCCCGTGGGTGTTCTGGCACACGCCCCGAGTGCGGCGTACGGGCAGTCGCCCGCCTGGCAAACCGGGCCGTTCAGTGGCCCGCCGAGCGGCCTTCCGTACGGCTCGCAGCACGGCCTTCAGCGCACGCACGCGCCGCCTGCGCTCTCGCAATATGGCTCGCCTGGCCACGCGCTCCGGGCCCCTCAGATACCCCAGACTGGCCCGCCGCCCTTGCCGATGCCGCTGCGCACACCCACGGCCGCGCCTCCTTTGCCGGGCCATCCCTCTGCGAACGGAGGCGTTCCGAGCACGCGGCTTGCGCGGCCACCGCCACCGCCGCCCGCGTTCGTTGCCCCGCCGCCGCCGCCACTCAGAAAGCCAGCCCCGCCTCCTCCTCCACCACCCTCCTCGGGAGCCAGTGTGCCTAAGCCCCCGCCACCGCCGCCACCCTCGGGATGAACCAGTGCGTACTTTCACTGAACCCTGTTGTCGGCGTCGGCATGAAGATTGGACAGTGCCATCTCACTCTTTCGGATGTACGAGTGGCCGGGGTGCGTTGAGCATGGAGCCCAAATGGAGAATTCTGGCATTGCGTGCTGGGTGTGTAGATGTATGGGACGTCTCATACAATTTGATGTCCCATGTTCACAATCATTTACTAATATACACCCTCATCTTGTTGCACAAGTCATGACGTCCATAGTCTTGAACCGGGCCATCTACATATCCTCGAGAGCCTGGTCCCATATTGTGACTCGGGTCTTTTGGCACGGGTGATGCATGCACAGATCCCGGAAACCCGAGGCTGCGTGAGTGAGTTTCTTGTCTTGTGTCCGATCATGTATCCCCGTCCAATTGCCCGAGCAGTGGCCCCGGATGTCAATTGCCCAAAGAGGGGCTCCTGATGTCCATTACCCAGGGAGTGGCTCCTGATGTCCATTACCCAGGGAGTGGCTCCTGATGTTCCATAGTGCTCAGATAGTTCATAGTTTCATATAGTCTGATATGAAGTTTCATCGGCCTGCACCCCATAGTGTTCGTGGTCTCATGTTCTTGGAGACCTCATATCCTCCGAGTGTCCCATAGAATAAAGCGTCTGGATTAATCCTGGGGCTTGCTATTGTCGCATGTCTAGACGAGTGTTTAAACCTGCGTGCCAGAACTTTAGCGGGTCACTATCTTATAGTCTCGAATGAACGTTAACAAATGCCTTGTACATATCCCGATATTCTATCTTTCAGTTTCATTGTGTATCCCTTGAGTTTCATTGTGATTCCTTGAGTTTCATTGCGTATCCCTTGAGTTTCATTGTGTATCCTTGCAGACCTCAAAGATCTCGTTTCGTCTTTTTATGGTGTGCTTTGTCTCTCCTATTATCTCATCTCGTGTCACGTAGAAGAATCATAGTATCGATTGATTGAGAAACGTGGCGCTTGGTGTACAGCGTCTCATACAATGAGGCTACTCTTATCTCATATCGTCTCTCATATTGCCTCACATACGACACTGTGTCTCATAAAGCCTTACGTGATTAGGTATAATAAACACACGAGTCCTTGATATATACCCGAGTGTATTGTATCACGGAGTCCTGAAACAAACCTGAAATGCCTGACATACAGCCGAGTCTCACGTCCCAGATCCCCTGGACACCAGCCTCCGGTCTGTTCCGGTCCCTCATATGCACCCGAATCTTTCATTCCAGGTTATTCCACAGCAAAAAAAGAAAATCCGCACCACATTGACGCAAGCCCCAGGTTTCAAGCACTTGCAACATCCTGGAGTCTCTTGAAGCAAGCACTAATTGTGATCTTGGAATGTTCTAGCAAGTCCCCCTCCAGAGCCAAGGCCAGCGCAACTTTCACCAAGTCGCTTCTCAACAGCAAACTCGAAAGCATCTCATTTAAATTCTCTTCAGATGGTTGACTCTGTTTCCTGTCCTTCAAAATCTGCACTTCTGCCTGCAATCTTTCGACGCGTGTCTTCATGCTCGGAGCTGTCTTGTCGCCTAAAGTGACGGTTTTGGTGATACTGTTGAGCTCCTTAAACCACTCTATTTCTGCCAGCGACAAAGGAAGTTTCTGTGCCGCTCTGGCCTTCTCGAAGCGCTCAACAATTTTGTGGCGAATACACTCTGCCCGTGTGATGAGGCTTTCCTGGCGCTCAATCAAAGAGCCAATCCTTTCACGATTTTTGTTGTAGTGCTCCTTCTTCGCGGTGTTTTCTTTCACCAAGAGCAAGTCTTTCGTCTGATCTTTTAGTTCCTTGAACTGGATCTCGATTTTCATTTGCAAAGCGAGAATGAACTTGGTTAGAGACCCTATTTTACGGATCAGATCAGCGGTGATTTGGTGCACAGTCCTCAAGGATTCAGCTTGTGTCGGATCGATGTTCTGGGCGCTCATCAATGGCTTTGCTCCGTCTGCTTTAATCATGCTCAATTCCGCAGCGGGCAAGGCCGTATGGCGTGTGGAAGAACTAGGTTTCGTTTGGAAAGCCGCGTCTTTGGGCTCGAGCTTGAGTCGACTTTCTGGTCTTACAGATGTCTTGACTTGGAAGACCTCCGCGTTGTCTGTAGCTGAGCACGCTAGAAGGTATCCACCCGTCCCCTCAATCCTGTCCTCAACGCGTGCAAAACTCGTGGCGATGGAATTTGTCTTGATGAGCTTGTACAGTACATCAAATGCCGAGCATTCAGGACCAAGAAACTCAGAAACAGCTTGCGCCAGGTCACCAATGATCAAGGACGTCCCCAGAGCAACCAAGATCTGGGACTCACGAAGATTTTGAAACAGACTTTCAGTGTTGCTAGTGAACTTCAAGTCAGTAGAATCCGTGGCCACGACGGACAACTTGTTGAAGTTTGAGTCTATGAATCGGTTGATTTTATCCTTGGCATTGTAAAGCTCGAGCTCCTCACGATAAGTTTGCATGTGGAGTTCGAAGTCCTCGTTTTCTTGATCCTCATCATCTTCGGAGTCTATCACATACCCAAAGCCACGCGGCGGTTGGGAGTAAGAAAGTTCTTTTGGTTGTGCTGGCTTTTTAACTGGCATGAGTGGTTGTGAGAGTGATAAGCTGGATAACTCAAGTGATATAGTTAATGGAATAATCTGAGAAAGATGCGAGATAGTGATGTTTCCAGTGTGGTCGCTGTAGACTCCAGCCAATACCAGAACATCAGTATTTGAGCTTGTTTGAGTGAGTTTCAAATTAGGGCCGAGAGTAGCCAAGGGCCCCAAGAGTTCGGGAGAAGACTCATTCCAGTCAATACTCAAAGACAATATTTGATTCGCGTCAGCCTCTGAAAACAATGGCGAAAGCAATGCTGCCTCGACTTTACGGACAAGCTCCGAATGTTTAGTGAATACTGCGCAATACAGGGCAAATGCTGCAGATGGAGGTATTCTGGACTCGTAACTCTGAAAGCACAGATCCCAGTCTTCCACAAACTTGGAAAGCAGTCTTTTGGAGGTACCAAGCTTTGAGGATTTATGCAAGAACGGGTAAAGACCATAAATCTGTCCGCAATTTGTGCTTAGATACAACGTGATTGAGCCAGCAAAGTTATGTGCCGACCCGAAACAAATTGACAGCACTTTCTTCCCGGTCAATTGAGGAGACTTGTTTAATGCTAACGTTAGTATTGGTTGCGTCAATGAAAATACAATGTCGTAGAGCAATATTTCGTCTTCGGTGAGGACCACCAACTCCGATTTCGTGGAGCTAGCGGGGTGCCACACAATGTCCTTTATGACCAGAGAGCATGAAGTACCATCCACTTTGGGAATTGTTATGCTCACATCAAAGCAGTCCCAAACGGGCTCGGATGAGTCAAAATCAACCGATTTTACATCGACAATAACAATTGAACTCTCTCCCACAACGGCGAGAAGTGACTCATCCTCGTTGAGCAAAAGCAGCAGAACTTTAAAAGGGGTACATGAAGAAATGTTCAAGATTTTAAAGAAGTTTTGCCCGTGATAAATCGGCCCTGTTTTCACCACGTTTAGCGAGGCAGAGAAAATCTGGGAGTCTCCTTTTATAGCAATGCTGGCACGCTCTCCCGGAACATAGTTTTTGAGAATACTGGCTTCCGAAAGAAAGGAAGACAACTGGGTCATATTCCTAGAACTTTAATTTTCGAGGTGAGAGAGGATAGTCCCGACAGTAACGAGCCGAAGAGAACATGGCTTCACATAGCGAAAAAAGCGCACATTTCAACGCTTCAATAGTCACGTGACTGATACTCAGTCGGCTTGACCGTGTTAACGGACAGTGAATGTACGCCTTTTAAGGATTGAAAGGGGTGGTCTCTGCAGGAAACGATTTTTATGAAATGAAATATATTTGCTAGTATGTATTAATTTGAGTTGGGCGGTCAGACTGGATTTGATTCATCTCCCTGGATGACATCTCTGTTGATCGAGCAAGAAAACACATTCTTTCTCTTTCCCCCTTCTACCCCTATAATCAGTAAGTTTGGGATTTAAGTGAATGCTGGAAAAGATATTATCGGTATGAGCAGCTAACCTCTGTGGTGGAAGGTCCGGGACACATTTCCTTTAAGAAGCTGATTGACTGCGGAACCAGTTTCCGTGTCCCAGACTCAGGATGAACAACAGGTGCAAAGTCAGGATTCTGAAGCCAACGAAGTCTTATTTTTTTTAAAAGGCTTCGGTTTTCGCTCGTGTCAGCTAAAGACTGCGCCGTGAGCTTGTCTTCTTGGACAGCGGGATAATTTTCTCTAAATCCATTGATTGCAGATTTACTAGCACACTTTCTTTTCGGACTATCGTTGTTGCTGGTTGTGGCAATAATGCGGTAGCCCCCACTTTCATTGCTTCTCTGGAATTGGGCTGGGTCAATTGGTGCACCTGGCTTATCTATACCATCGTCAGTGAAGTCTTTGCGAAAGAATCTGCGGGATCTTCGACGAAATACCTCGTTTGGAAATTTGAAACGATACAGGAAAAAGTGCCTGAGCTTTTCTCTCTTGGAGAGCTGTGCGCTATGTGCCTTTGCTGTTTCTGTCCCCATCTGTTTACCCCACCACGCAAAAAACCATGGTGGGTGCAAATTCGGCCCTCGCGTATATTCCATCACAACAGGGAGCGGTAGATATTTGGAAATTTTTGTGCTGATATTTGACAGCAAGAACTTGGATTTTTCTACTGTTGCTTTCTGAATTGTTATATGTGTTTTAAATGTGTTTTGTAATGAATAGTACTGGTGGATAGAGGTAAGAAACAAATGACCAAAGCAGTTTTTTCTAGCTGCACCGCGTTTGTGTGCGATCTTTCGCCTAGCTATTTCGAGAAAGCGACTTGAATTTTTTTGGAGAGGAGTGACCACGAATTCCTGAGACACGGGGACCACGGTCCAGAATTTTCGTCGCAATTTTTGTAAAAGAGTCTAAGACTTGCTGTTGGTACTTGAGCCTGTCTTTGATCTCAGTCTCTAGCATTTGTTCGTTTTTGCTGTGCTGAAGCAAAAGTTCACGCTGCGAGTTTAAAACGAAATTGCTCAAGACCGTGACAAGACATTTTCTTTGCTGACTCAACACCTCATTCTGCGAAAACTCGTCGTACAAATTTTGAAACTGTTCAGTACAGTCTCTGTGTAAAATTGGGGCAAGAATATCAAAACTTCCCTTGATGAGGGTGGTCAAACCCTCCACTGCGATTTTGTTGGAGGTTGTGACTTCTTCCAAATGTTTTGAACTCTCCAAGTGCTTTGTCATCAAGTTCGCGATTCCTTTCTGGATATTGGTGATGATATCAGATTCAAGGTCTAGCTCGAGGTTTGGTGATGGAAATTTGGGTTCGATATGTGATGATTTTCTCTCCTGGGTGCCACTGTGCGACGAAGAAAGCCTCTGATTGTTTGTTTGACTAAAACGCAAGCATTCGAGGTTTTCCAATATTTTGACAACCTGTGACTTCTTCTCTTCGTATCTCAAACCCACCTCGTTTATCATCAATGAAGCTTCATTGAGTTGTTGGTCCTTGATCGCCTTTTGAGTTTTGAGAGCCGCATCTTTTTCTTGAATCACGAGCAAATTCTCTTTGACTTCCTGCTCCAAAGCTTTGACTCGACTTTGCTCTCTGGTGTACTCCTCGTGTAAGACTGCCTTTTCGGCCTCTTGGAAAGCTTGCAAATCCAAGGCTGCTTTCTTCGCTTGACGCAATTGTTCTTCTAACTCACTCTTTTCTTTTTCACTCGACTCGTCTGTGGTTTGCAAGCTTTGGACATTTTTCAACTCTTCTTGTAAATTTGACACTTGAATTCTGCTTTCACGAAGCTGTTCCTCAATTTCAGCTTTAAGTTTTGTGTTGGATACGTATATGGTCGCTTCGATCGCCTTGTCTTTCTCAATTTCTTCAATTTTCGCCGTAAGGCTTTTGATTTGATCCATTTTGTCTTGGACTGACTCCTGGGACTGTTTGAGTGTTTTGGACAAAGTCTTTGTTTGATTTGCAAGAATGGTCCTTACCTCAAGCTCTTGTGTAGTCTGTTGCAAAATATATCTGAGTTTTCTTACTTCGCTGTTGGATTGTTCAAGTTGATCCCGGCAGCCACTGAGAGAGTCACCAATATCTGCAACTCCACACCGAATCTCGGATTTGAGCTGCTGGGGGTCACATGCTGCTTCTTCTTTTGCCTTGATGTCTCTTAAGCCACACAACTGCTCGTAAATTTCATAGAGATAACCGTCCTTTCTACCCTTTTCGCTTACCAGATCAACGTCAGTGGAATCGGAGTTGTCAAAGCCGCCAAAAGTGCTTTGAGCCTTGCCCAATTGTCTTTCGGCAGTAGAGTCTTCAAAGACGCTCTGTAGATATTTGCCAGCTATATCTATTCCATCTTTAAATTTCGTGTTCACATCAGCAACATTGGTTTTCTGGCTAATTTTCTGGTCTCCAACAGAGGTTTTGAAGTTCACTGTATTGTCTTTTACCGCATACGTCTTGGCAACGTTTTGAGTTTTGAGCTCGTCACTATCTCTCTCTTTGGTTTCAAGACTCTCCTCATCTTCACTATCTTCACTCTCTTCACTTTCACTCTCAGCTGCTGGCTCATTTTGCTTTCGTTTACGAAATTCCTCGAATGCTGATTCCATTTCATCAATATCCTTGCCAAAGTGAGGTTTGAATTCGTGATAAGTAGTCAAGTTGTCCGCAAAGTGCACAGACTTGCTCCTGGGTAACCCGAGTGTTGTCTGTACTGAGTTGTCGAGCTTGGACTTGAAAGAGAAACTATTAGATCTTTTCAAGTTCAGCTTGATATCAAAGGGATCTAAAGTCCGAAAGTATGACAGCTGGTTCTCGCGCGATGCTGGCTTAAGCCTCAGTGGTCTGCGAAGGAAAAATCGTCTTTCAGGGTTTGGGATCTCTCCAGGAGTGATGATCTCAGACTCCTCAGAAACAGAAGACTCGCTAACCAGACAGGCTTTCGGGGTTTCACCAGGCTTCCCCACAGTAGTGGAATGAAATATCTTTCTGAACATCGGCAAAAGCTGTCGGGCTATTTGTGGAATGGAGATAAGTATTGCTGCGAAAACGAGGTGCCATATCTGGGTCCACTTTTCGCAGCAATTGGTTTTCTCACAAAAGCATGGTGCTAGAATTGGGACCGCACATATCAGACCTAAGTTTTGCAATTAGTTGGTGGAAAGGTTTTGATCTTGTGTGATGTCACTGCTAGTGGAAGTATGCTAGCTAGAGATAGAATCCGGTCGTTCTTGTCAAGATCTGCAGCTTGATGTGCGAGACAATTCAGCATATCCAGAGTCAAATAAAATTTTATGGGTATTGATCAGTATACTCGCGGTTCCACCTGGAAGAAATATATTGTTGCAGGAATAATAACTCCATTGATTGCTTAAATCGGGCCTTGTTTTGGCGTCGTGCTGTGTTCGAAGCATGATTACGCATGCGGTCAGTCATTCTACACATCACCCATGACAAAACCGCGTGTTTCATTACCCCGTCTCTCCAACTGTTTTATCAAAAACCTACTATATAGAGCAGAGTTGTCAATTTCCAAGCATTCAAAAAAGTGCTACGAACATTTTAAGTATTCCAACAGTATTGATCTCTCAATTATACACGGCAGTACTATTGATCCCCTATTCGAAAGCAGTGTTATTAACATCCAAAACAACAATATCGATATCCACCATTCATTTTTCGACTAACAATACATCAAAGAAAAAAAAAACAGTAGTATGAACATCCCAATACTTGGAGTGGTGCTATCTTTTGCTATTCTAAACAATTCCATGAACATCCCACTATTCGAAGCACTAAAATCCCACTATTCAAAGTATCACTATTGATCACACTCTTGGGAGTAGCACTAGAAACCACGCTTTTTAAAATAGCACTATGAATCACACTCTTTAAAGGAGCACTATGGATCACACTATTTAAAGTAGCTCTACTCCCCAAAGGCCGGGATAATTTCGCCGTATAAAGAAAGAATTAGGGCGCCTCATCTGAGAGCCGCACCAACTAAAGGCCCAGCCGACCCATACATCTTCACACGCGCGCACCTGTCCATACGTGCCCATTGAAGCCCAGCAGCAACTAGCAGCACGTTTATTCAAAGACACCAACATCTTCGGGAAACTGCAATTGGCACATTTTGGGCATTCAACTTTACACTCCACAGCCACACCATATAAGCGATGGGAAAGCAGTACATCTCAACGGTCTCCGCCGCTCAGGCCCACAAACTGGACATTCTGGCGGTAGCCATGACCAATAAATACACCATCACTGTGTCCAGTGACGGGTACGCTGCCTTTTGGGACAACAAGCAAGATGAAGTGCACATGCCACATGACTTTGCTGTGCACAAACTCATCAATAAGATCGGGATCCATCACGTGGCTGTGTTTGAAGACGTGCCTTCGGGCCTGACCACGCGGGTCCTGTTGGTGGCATTTGCCTGTTTTGACGGGCTGATTCAGTTTTACCAGTACACAAACGACGACCTCGAAAGCTTTGTGGCCGTGGCGACAAAACTGGTCTTCAGCCACGACTTCTGGTGCCCGGGATTCTACAAGGACCCCGAGTCCACGCAGCACTTTTTCGTAGGTACAAAGGCTAACGGGACGACAGCCGTCCACGAGCTCAACATTTTTGTGGACGAGAACGAGGATGTGACCGTTGACTTGGCCACTGAAGCTGGCGTTCTCAACTCCTCCAAGAACTTCACCTCGTACCCAAACGCTTTGAGTGTGTCTCCCACTGCAGATGCGCTTTGTGCTGTCGGGTATACGTCAGGAGACGTGGTTGTGTATAGCATCAAGAACCAGAAACAGGTGTTCACGTTCCACTCTACTGACTTGCAGGTGAAGCAGGGCAAAGGATCCACGGCTGTGCCCCGCGTCTTGGCATTTTCTCCCGGAGGCTCGATTTTAGCAGTGGCCAGAGACAATCAGTCTGCTGGCTCAATCACGCTATACGATGTGAAGTACGGGGAGAACGTGGGCTCTTTGACGACCCTGACGCATTCCGCCAAGACCACCATAGGTGGGTTTGCACATGAGGGATGGATTATGGGATTGAGTTTCAATGAAGACGGCAGTCTTTTGGCGTCGTGCGGGTTCGACAAGTGTTTGCGGGTCTGGAACTTGGAGCTGCGGGAGAGGGAGGCCACGATTCTGGTCAACGTGAGCGACCTAGAAGACACCACTCACGACGAAGTTGACTCTAGTATATGCAGTGGCATTGCATTTATCAAGAAGGGTGTACGTGGGGGACCAGGCGGCGATGCCAATGAAGGTTTGTGTGTGGTCAGTTTCGACCGAGGCGTACGCTGGTACAGAGAAGCAGGTGGGATCTAAGCGCAGAGGCGTAGTTAGTGAGCATGAAAAAAATGATTGCGTAACAATCAATGCATTGAGTTTAAAGAGCGAAGAAAGCTACCTTCTTCTTGCCGACCCTCTTTTGGGACTATGGTTATTTATCACTTTAATGTGCTTGTTACAGTCCTGAGCACCAGAAAATGCTTTTGGGTCCACCTTTTCGGTAAATCCGTGCATGGAAGTATTCTCAACATGAACAAGGCTACAAGTAAGACACGAGAAAGGACACGGGCCTTAGAAGTTTTTGCTAGATTGTATTCAATACTTAGTCTGAGCACTCAGAAGAACAGACAACTAGACGAACAGACGCATGTGACGACGATGTCGCATAACCGTATACTCATGAAACAGGAAACCACGACATTCACAGACCCAATAAAGTAGACAGACTTCCGAACTAATTATGGCCAAGACTGCTTGCAACAATAAGAAAAGAAAGCGCTCCACGAAACGCCCGTATCAATCAGTCACGTGACTTGATACTGCTCAATAATGTAAACACTGGCATCTCTTCACCGATCTAAATTCATATTCAGCAGTTCATCCCGTCCTCGATGGATCTTGCAAACGACATTCGGGGATATATTGATGAATTGATCGACCCTAATGCAGATACGGCCCAAGCTCTTTTCAAGCTCGAGAACAAGGCGAATGTTGATGGGCTTCTGGCTGCGGAGCTATCAACTTTACTAGACCTCGTCTTTGAGCCCATGGTGAGCTCAATGGTGAGAAACCGGCTACTCAAAAACTGTTTGATTCCACGTGGGGACTACTTTATTTCGCCTGATGTCTTTTTGCGTGTTCTTGGGGTCATAGGTGCGCCCGAGATATACTACAAGAATGGCAAACAGCATAAACTGAAGCGATTCTCTTTACCCACACAACAAAGAATCTTGCAATGGACCATAAGTATACTACCGTTCTTCGGACTGAATGTGTACTCAGTCCCACGTCGGTCTCTTCCGATTCTCTTTGGGTTACTATCATATGAGTTTCTGCGGCCTTACATTGTGACGTTGATCATCATAGCCACAACATCAAGAGCTGATGATATTCACAAAGTTAATTGCAAAAGTGTCAAGCATAGTTTTCGAAAGTCTGCACTTCGTTCGTGGCATGCACGCTTGACATCAGACCTTCTTCAAAGGTTCCCGCTTGATCCATCCCTCAGACTCCTAGCTTTGCACATTTCTAGGTCCGAAAGCCCGCTAAACCTACACCAGATCTTCCGCTCGAATGAGATCCCGCCGCTCAAGCCATCTGAGGTGAGAATAGTTGCTGATGCTCCTCCAGTATCTCGTCTCAAAAATACACTCAATGACGAGTGCAGCCAAGAAATCTTGAGAATCCATCATGATCTCTTGCAGATATACCAACAAGTTGAGCGAAGTGCGAAAAAACGAAAAATAGATTCACAAATGACTTCCAGAACAGACCTCTTAAACCAGGTGCTGAAAGGACTGCAGGTTCCGATCAGTTCTGTTTATTCGGTGACCACGCTTATTTCCAACCTAGAAAACATTAATTTCATTAATCCCAGCTCTGTTTTTGCGAAAACACAATCACAGAACCACAAGTACAGAAATTTGTACGTGAGTCTTGTTCTTCGAACCGCTGGCCACACCAGTCACATTCACAAGAAGCTCTCAGCGGCACTTCTGCATCATGTCTTGGCGGATAATTCTACGTACCGTGACTCTGGTAATCATCTGATTGAAAATTTTGCCCGATACGACACTATGTCTTTCTTTACGAGTGAAATGGAAATGTTCATGGAGAACTCCATATGCAGAGCTAACGGAAACATGCTCTACTTGAACAAGCAGGTGTACTTCATACAATACTTCTATCTCGCAAAAACAGAAGTTACTCTACGGTCATTGAGCAGCATATTTGCATGTGTTGACAAATTGCTAGTCAGAAATGAACGCAATGTTCAAGATTCGTTTCCCGAATTTTTGTCTGGATTGACTATGCTCCTTAGTAGATGTGTGGTTACTGATGTGAGTGGTACTGATGAGATTTTAAAGTCAATTACCCAGCAGCTATGGGATTTGATAGAGAAACATCGGAGTATTCTAAATTTATCGTGCAAGCTTTCGTTCCTCATGTTTATGAATCATGCAGTTGAATTGGTAACTCAGGATTCGAGATCTTGGTCAAACCCTGCATGCCTCATCCCACCACCATCATTGATGTTTCTGCTCGTTTCATCTGTGCACCCACTCATTGTTTCAGAAGCACTCGGATTGATTGCGGCGCTAAAGAAGATCAAGCTCTCAGAAGAAGATATCCTTAAGCTGGCTTTCAAGAATACGTACGTTATGGATTCCATCAACTTTGTGTGGCGCGACATGGCGTTCAAGCACGAACAAAATACAATTAATCAGGGCATGTATTTACACCCCTATTTCCTCCAGCGCATGAATGGCCTTGATTTCTTCAGCAACTCAAACCTTATCCTGACTAAGTCTGTTGGCAGCATCGTGCAAAATCCAGCTTTTGCTTACATAAGCGCAGAACTTGTATGGAAACTCGAGGATGTGGAGCCTGGTCTCACCATGCGGCACCCCGGGCCCATTTCAGAGGCCACGGTGGAAAAAATTCAACAGGATGCCGACGTAAAGTGGCTTGGTGTAAGCTATCAAGAGCTCAAAGTAAGTCTACTCAATCATCTTGACGCAATGGGATTCCATGGCATAGCAGACTTATTATTCACGTCGCTTAAACCTCTTGTAGGTCAAAGAACAAGCACCAGGAACGCTTTGTGATAGGCAGTATATTATACTGTCTCCCCATTGGCTGCTTTCGGTGACATCTTATAGACAAACGCCATATGTTTGTGAGTGGGACATATTTGAGGTTCAGGGGAATGAAAAGAAAGAACGTTTTTGATCTCGAGCTGTGCTGTACGAAAGTTTACCGGTTGTTCCTTGGATCCTTTGTCTCGCTACAACTGAAGGTGTATCTTATATTGGGTGCAAATGTAGTGTGCATATGGGAACAAGTCGACTGATGCGATCTCGTGCTCACCAGCACATTGTATCGTGCAAGCAGAAATCTCGCGACAGCCCGTGCCCAAAAAAAGTATTTGTTTACTCAGAGATGCTTCGGATTTTACGAGGGAAGCCGCTTCAGATCCGACGCTTGGTCTCGGGATCAGGATCTTCAGTGCGAGACCAGAAACATGAGCTCGCTCTCAACAAGCTACATACCAAATGGATAAGCAAGTGGAAAGCCTCGTTCGGAAACGGGTCGCTTCATCCTGATAAGTCTTTAGATAGCAAAGAAAAACCCTTCTTTTGTCTCTCCATGTTTCCCTATCCCTCTGGAATCTTGCATCTAGGCCACCAGAGGGTGTACACTATTAGTGATGTGATCTCCAGATATAGACGGCTTCAGGGCCGGGAAGTGATTCATCCAATGGGATGGGATGCATTTGGTTTGCCTGCTGAGAATGCAGCCGTAGAAAGAGGGGTCAACCCAGCCGACTGGACGAAACAGAATATTGGGAAAATGAAACAGCAGATGGAATTGATGTTGGCCGATTTTGATTGGGATCGGGAGGTCGACACAACGTCACCCGAATACTACAAATGGACACAAAAGATCTTCACACTACTCTTTCAGAATGGCTTGGCCCACCGAAAAGGAGCAGAAATCAACTGGGACCCTGTGGACCAGACCGTGTTGGCCAACGAACAGGTAGACTCTGATGGCCGGTCTTGGAGGTCTGGGGCCCAAGTGGAAAAGCGGGTTTTAGAGCAATGGTTCATTGGGATCACAAAATACGCAGATGCGCTCAACGAAGACATGAAGTTGCTTGATCAGTGGCCTGACAAGGTCAAGGCCATGCAGAAACATTGGATCGGCAAAAGCGAGGGTGCCGAGGTCAAGTTTGCAACCAATAAAGATTCTGATATTTCTGTTTTTACTTCCAGGCCCGATACGTTATTCAGCGTGCAATTCGTGGCTTTGGCGCTTGACCACCCGCTTGTCTTAGCGGCTAAAACTGCTGACCTGCAATTGGCCGAATTCATTGCTCAGTGCTCTGAAGGCGACACTGACCCAGAGTCGAAGGCAGGCTATAAGCTCCAGGGCATTCGAGTATCTCTTCCTATAGGAGTGGATGGCAACGCCAAATCTGTTTTTGATATTCCTGTGTACGCCGCACCATACGTTCTAGGATCTTATGGTCATGGTGCGGTCATGGGCTGTCCTGCCCATGATGAGCGAGATTCTGAGTTCTGGCGCCTTCACAACCCCGAAGTACCTGCCATTCAGACCGTGGGTCCTAAAAACCAAAAAACTGCGTCTGCCAAAGACACCCTTTTCACAGGAAAAGATGGGTGTTTATATGACTCGTCGATAGTGAGAAATGGGTTGCCTTCTTTGGGAATATTTGCCGGCTTGCCTTCTTCGAAGGCTGGTAGGAAGATTGTTTCTTGCCTCGAAAAAGTGGGAAGGGGCCAAAAATCGACCCAGTTTAAGATCAGAGACTGGTTGATTAGCAGACAGAGGTATTGGGGAGCGCCTATTCCTATAATCCACTGTAACTCCTGTGGTCCCGTGCCTGTTCCTGACCAAGATTTACCTGTGCTTCTTCCGCAAGTCGAGAGCAAGCATTTCGGTAAGGGCAATCCTCTTGGAAGTATCGAGTCTTTCGTGAACACTAAATGTCCGTCTTGTGGATCTGCAGCAAAGAGGGATACAGACACAATGGATACCTTTATTGACTCGTCTTGGTACTTTTTCCGCTACACTGACCCCAAAAACAGCATGCTGATCTTTGATCACAGCAAGGCAACTAGCTCCATTCCCGTTGACTTGTATATAGGAGGAGTGGAGCATGCCATTTTGCATTTGTTGTACTCTAGATTTGTCTCCAAATTCTTGGGTGACTGCGGTCTTTGGGACGGTGCGCATTTCAGAAATGAGCCCATTCGGCGTCTTGTTACCCAAGGCATGGTACAAGGCAAGACATTCACAGATCCTCACACAGGGCGATTTTTGAAGCCAGAAGAGGTAGAGATAAGAGGTTCTCTTGGTCCAGTCATAAAGGCCTCTGGTGAAGTGCCTAATGTGACTTTTGAGAAAATGTCCAAATCCAAGTACAATGGTGTTGATCCTACTGCGCTCATTGATACATATGGAGCGGATGCTGTAAGGGCTCAGATTCTTTTCGCAGCGCCAGTATCGGATGCATTGAACTGGAACGAAGAACACATTCAAGGAATACAACGTTGGTTGAAGAAGGTGATGAACATGAAGAGCGATGTGCTTCTTCAACAGAGCAAAGAATTCAAGCCATCATTGGAATCAGATGAATTCGAGAACTTGACTATAAATGGCGAGTATCTTAAGACGGTAAGGCTCAACAAAGATGAGTTCAACTTATACAACGAAGTACATTATTATGCCAACAGAGTGGCTCAGGCAATTGAGCGCGATTTATCTTTGAATACTGTGATCTCCGACTACATGAAGTTGACCAACTATCTCCAGAAGGTATTGAAGGAAAACCAGGAGATCCTGCCAAGTCTCTTGTTGGATTCTTACAAAAAGATTTTGATTATGATAAGTCCTGTGACCCCATCTGTGGCAGAAGAATGTTGGGAAGGTCTTAGCGAAGGCATGGGCGAAAAGTGGAAATCCATTTTATGGCAAACTTACCCCACAACTAAGCCTCTTACCTCGCCATATACTGACTACAAAATTGTTGTGAACGGCAAAAAAATCGGAACAGTAAACCGAATCAAGAGCATCGACGGTCTCTCAGAAGAAAGAATATTGGAGGTTTTTAAGAGTCACGATTTGGTGCGTGCCCGGATAAACGGAAAGAAAATTAAGAAGGTCATCGCCAAGAAGGACGTGGTCAGCATCATCTGTGGGCTAGACTCCGCTTAACTGAGGGGCCGCAACGGCATTTTTGCTACGTACTGCACATATATATAGTGAGGCGCATCGAAGTTGTTTATGTGGGGGCTTGGCGTGTGGATTCCTCGCTCTAAAGGAACAAAGTCCGGAGCAACTATTTATAGATGTGATTCACTCCACATTTTACATTTGTACCATGTTTTTTTTTTTTCCCGTGGATATAAGTGCGAAGCACCCCACTAACTCAGACACATCCAAATACCTTTCATCTAGTCTTTGACTAATTCCTTACCTCTTTCATTAAGCATCGAACAACGCCAATATTTAGGATGTATGACTTGCCATACAACGTCTTGAACAAAATCGTTCATTATACAGACAGAAATGAACAAGTGGCTCTTGCACAACTAAATCTGGAACTCTACCACGTCGTTTGCTCTAAGCTCTACCAAACAATAATTGTTGTGGATGATGATCACAAAATTTCTCTGATTGGGAACCTTTCATCCACTTTGATCCGAATCTCGGATTTGGCCACATTCACAGGTTGTTTAAATACACGAAACTTTCAGTTTGTTGACAAGATCATCATCAACACGCATAGCGCTGAAGCGTCAGCCTCGCTTGTTGGATTTTTTCACAGGCTTGCACAATTGTGGAACATGACAAACCATGTGATCAGCTTCATCAATTATGACATATTGTCTCTTCGTGTTTCAGACTCATTGAACAACTACTTGGAACTGAACTCTATTCAATTCGCGGAATATGATGATGGCGACTGTATTCTAGCGCAGAAGAGTCGCAAGATTCAAAACTTACGCCATTGGTTTATGTTCCATATTCAAGACCTTCTTGTGGCCCCCGCTAGCGATAATTTGCAAAGATTGGGTCTCTACGTTGAAAGCAACAATTATCAGGGGAATGCAGATGAAGGTTATACCATTGAAAAGCCCAACTATGACAATGTGAGGCGTAATTTGTCTTCCTTGCTGGAGCTTTTCTTGCATTCAGCATTGGCGTTTGTCAAGTTTCTGGATTTAATACAGGACTTGCGTATACCCCAATTACAGTTGCGGCGGCTTTCAATCACAAGCACTCATCGTCTAAGAAATGATGCAATGCTTAATTTTCAGCAAATAATTCGCCAATTCAACCTCAATAATTTAGAGGAATTGGAACTCAAAGTAAGCTGCGCTCGCCACCATGAGTGTCAAGACCTGTGCATGGTTAGATTTTTTTCCGATTGGAAAACCTACAACATCATACATGGATACAAATCCAACGTCCGGAAACTCTCTCTTGTTCACCACAAGTCGCTCTCTGAGACTGTTCAGTTTAAAAGAATTGTGGAGGAACAGATATTCGACCTGCATTTCTCAAACATCAAGGAAATTTACTTGAATCTTTCAAATACGGTGCGCTCTCCTGGACCAAGCTTGAGCATTGATGTTAACAAGGTCATTGATAGATTGACTATGGTCCCTGAACTTGAAGCTCTTCACATTTCGAGTTACATGAGCGAGTGGATCTGGACCCCTCCACATCACTCAGAACTGCTCACATACCTCGATACCCTTGCAAACAGGTGCAAATGTCACGAGTGCCAAATGACAAGGGCCAGCTTTGTGAAGTTGGCTGAGCTAGATAAAGCGAAGAATTATAGCCATAAGTTGTCATTCGAAGATACCAGTACTCGTCCTTTCTCCCCGGACTCTTCGATAGACTTCATGCGCGTTGAAAATTATAAGTTTTTACAATACGTTTGCGGGATTATCAGGCTGCAAGAGTTAATTATGGAAAGAAATATCACGAGCTCCGGAACTATGTTGGACATGGAGTACATGCCAGAATCCCAAACTTGCGAAATCGAACCTTTCAAAACCCTCATACAGCATTCGTGTCTCAATGAGATTCACGAGCTCATGACAAGCCGTGCTTGCCAGCTACGGAAAGTGAACTTTGGTGGGATCATTTTTTGCAAGTAGTATGCTTACACTTGAAACCATGTTCTGGTTCTGCTGAAGAGACACGAAATGGTACTCCAATTATAGCCTCTCCTGGCCTTATCTGCGCCTTTTCTCAAGAGGGTCATTAATAGCTTACACAAACAAAATTAATAGAATAAACCAATTTGAGCTTCAAATGACACTCCACTTCATTAATGGCAACATTATTTGCTCGTCGGCTTGACGTGATCGCTAAATTGCTCACATCCCGAAAGCCGGCCGCGGTCATGCATTTAAGCCGCACAATCGGCCCCGATCTTGATGTTACAACCCGGGCTATCAGCGGGCATACCCTCTGTCATCTTCTTATAGAGTTGATTCTCAGCTGTACTACTAATCTGCCACACAAGACACAGTGAAATAGGTGTGCTATCTTTTAGGTATATCAAAAATCATGCCAATCGCTCAAATGTCTCCCGAACGTATTGAGCAAATCAACAGCCAATTGTTGACTGCGGGGGCAGTTGGGTTTCTCAAGGGCACGATTGTTGCACTTGTGAGTGGGTCGTATTTTAGCTATAAGTACAATTTTGGCCATAACAAAAGATTTTTCTTGCCCCAGTGTAAGGTCGGGTACTTCATCGCTTGGGGAATAGTGGGTATCACTTTTGCTGTGGAAAACGCCAAGATCAGCGTGACTAAGGACTTGGCGGAGGAGGAGAACATACAGAGACAACTTTACTGTAAACAAGAGTTGGGCGGAAACTAGGCTGCGGGTATAAATTTCATACATTTTGTGCGTTATAGGTGGATGGTAATTTGAAACAAGTCCGGAGATGCTCTTAAACGTAGAATGCCTCTTCATGATACTTGAGGCCGTTTTCGTTAGCCCAAAGCTTTGTTTTCTTCACCAACGACTTGGGGCCAGCTGAAATGACCCAAACTTTTCCCAAGTCGGGTAGTTTCTTGTCGCCCTCCATCACATGCTGGCGGCCTGGAAGATCTTTACAGCATAGGAGATTGTGTGATTCGTCCATCACTGGCCCCGAGCACTGAGTGAATATGTCACTCTCGTTAACACACCAGTTGTAGTACCGGTAATTCAATAATGGTCTCCCCTTGTATATATGGCAGTCCAAGTGAAGTTTCTTGATTGTTTGCAAGTAATTCTTATGACACTCGTCCTCGCCATCCAATTGCGGCACGAATTGGTCATTGATGGAATGAGACTTGCTGGTTCTTCGAGATGTAATAGAGTGGGTTTCCTCCCCAGGAAAATAAGATATGCCTCGCTCGTCGTTTACACCGAGCAAAGCATCAGTCTCATCAATTCCCGCATGAATATGAGGGACGACATGCTGTGTTTCTTGCGGACACTCTTCTTCAATATCATTTTCGGCCTCATTCGTGAAATCGACATCAACATTTTCGCTCTCCTGGTTTCCTATATTTTCTTCTTCATCTAAAAGTGTAAACTCGTTGGCTTCTAAATCAGATGAAGTGACACGCACAGAATGAGGAAATGTGCCATAACTTGAGGCGTTGCGTAATTGGGAGCTGTCAAAGCCGTCGCGGATTGATGTGTTTCCCGTCACAAATATCTCAAAGTCATCCCCGTGTATCATTCCTTCAAAAAACCGAAGCACGGCAATATCCCTGAAATCTCGAATGACCCAAACAACTTTCACTGGAATTCCGTGGTAGTTAGCGACTCTAACCAACGGGATCGCGAACGAAATAGCGGAGCCTCCAATGACAATCAAGATTTTCCTGGCATTAACACTCAACTTAGAAATGGAAAAGTTAGCATCAGGAGTGTTTCTAGATCTTATCAAGAGAAGCTTGGGGTCAAAACTTCCATAAATCAAGTACCGGCCCCGGTTTCTCCAAAGAAATGAGCTTTTCCGCACCACGAGTCGCTGGTATCGATCCAGTGGTAAGGATACAAGTGTATACGGATGGTAGTTTGGTATCAATTGCTTTCCCAAACGAACAATCGGATTTGGGTGGTAATTCGTAATCCGCACGTGAGCACCAGGGTTGACAGCCCTGGTGTGAATGAGAGTATTCGGAATGTCTATGCAAGCTAAGTTGGGAGAAACATCGTTGACCTTTATGTCGAGCTCGGAAGACACTCTTGTCATTGAAATTCTGCGACACGCCTGGTAGATCAAAAGCATCACATTCAACATGTTGGCGATGGATGTATTAATGGGACGGACATGAAATGGGATACTGAGAACAATGACCCAACTCCAGAAATAATGGTTGAAGAAAAAGAGCTTGTACGATCGGTCACGTACACGCAGAAGCGACGTCCATATAATCATGATGAATCCAAACATTGCGGCCCATCCAAAAAGGTTCTCCTTTTTATATACCTTATCCCATGTGCTATTCACCAGGAAATACCCTAGGTATATGATAGTGTGGAGAGCTGCAAGCAAAATCACTGCCCGTGAAAGCCACTTATGGATGGGAAGAAGCGACAAATATAACGTATGAGGAAGTGGCGAAGGCCGCATGGTTAAAAAAAACACTGTCGGTAGCGACTGGGCACAAAGCCTACCCAATCGCTTACCGACAAAAATCAAGTCCCCTCCGTTGATCTCGATCAAAGTTAGCGTGGAGAATACCGAGGACCAGAGTAGAATTTGTACTAGCGGGCTTGAGTTCAAGTATATGGAGTGTGCACATTTGGACGCTAGATCACAGAGTCTTCCTGTAAGAGAAGCACGCGGGCTATTTTGGCGAGTTTCTGGAGGCGATACACGTTCTAATGCCTTGTTTATTGTTCTTAGAATGTGAATTTTGTTGAAAAACCAGTATCCCTTCGCCCGAAGGTAGTTCTGAAGCGGTAATGCCGCCAAGAATATCACCATGAAGCACGCAAGGACAACCCCGTACTTAACCGTAACATGCTGGCGTAGTTGTGCATATTCCCTAGACTTGGAGTGTTTGTCTGGGTAGTAGAAAAAGTTCTCGAGATAACTGATTTGGTCCATTATATGTTCAGTGCGAGGCACAAACCAGATCTAAGTATGTGAAGGGTTTTTTAAAAATATTCTCCCTGTTTATCTGCTGCTTTGCATCGACGTATCTCTGGACCAACTTTGGAAAAGTAAAAGAGGATATCGGGAATGGATAAGAATGAGACTGTTAAACAGGTGATACTGACTAAGCCAATTCCGACAAAGCCGTGCATGCACGCATGACATCGCATGCAAAGTTCGTTTCAATACGAGGCTCTGCTTTTTGCGCAGTCCTCATAGGCCCGCGAGATCCCCTTCTTGTCTATTTGATCTAGTCATTTTTTGGACCACTATTTCGTTCCCCATGAATTTTCAGACCCATGTCGTGACCTTTCATTCATAGAAATATTGATTTACTAGAAAAACAATTGAGAGAATCAACCAGAGACAAGTTTTCGAAGTTGCTTTACTTGCTTCGGCCAACAACCGTGCGTGTTTTTTGCCACCCACTTATCTATTCAATCAGTGGTCAGCAGTGCCGAGCATGGTCACTTCAATATAAGCCAGGATAATAACCGAGATCAAAAACAAAAAAAATGATACATCAGCACATAACAGGAAATACCACACCTTAAATTATACAAAATTATGTTGAGCCACATTTTTATTGACACGAAGAGCTCTCTATTATGCACCCTTTAAGCACCTTTCCTTGCTTCCCGATTAATACAATTGTTGCATGGACCCTTTGGTCAGTTTCTTGTTGCGAGGGATCACTCCGCTCCTGTTTGGTTTTGCAGAACCTGACTTCTTCAGCTTGCTTGGAAGCACGCCAGTTCTTGACGCCTGAAGCGATTTGCCCGACGCCTGAGACTTCTTTCCACTTGTCTTCGATGCCAAAAATCCGGACCTCGACGGCTCGTAGTTTCTGGATGAAGCAGACTCAGTGCTTTGATATGAACGCTTCTTGCTATTGGTGTTGTAGCTGTTGTTGTAGCTGCTGCTCCCGAAACTGTTGTTGTGACCATTGTCCCCGTAATTTCTATTGCTGTAGTTATTGTTGCCATGACTGCTATTCCCGTAGCTGTGGAAATTTATGCCATTCCCACTGTTACTTGAAAAGTTTCTTGACGAAGGCTCAGGAAAGCTCTTGGTTTTCTTGCCAAAACACTTGTTGAAATACCGGTCTCTGAGCTCCTTTGGAAGGTTGTTTCCACTGAATGCACTGCCACTACTGTTTGGTATTCTCGATGTGCGGGGTTCAGGGCATTCGTCACCAAAATGCATGTCGTCTCCGCAATTATAGCAGTAAGTAGGGGGGAGCTGCGTATTGGGCTTTATGGCTTTTGTGAGATAGGACCGCCATATACTGGGACAGTTGTCATTGCTGTGGCTGTACAAGTCACATGTTTCACAATACTGCTGTTTTCTTGTCTTGCTCGTACATGTAGCCCATGTATGCCCGCGATCCCCGCATCGAGAACAAACTATCGTAGTGGGACAATGCGTTTCGTAATGGTCTCCCACTACACCGCACTTATGGCAAATGACGGTTTTACATTTCGCACGAACGTGCCCTCTTTCATGGCAGTTGTCGCAAATTCGCCCGAGTTCTTGCTGAGCGTTAATGGATTCGCCTGTTGATGGGTCTGTGACTCCAAAGTACCGACCTGCGCCTCTGAGTTCGATGAGCTCATCGGCGTTATCGTTGACCTGCTCAAAAGAGAGGGAGGTCAACGCATCTTCCTTTTGTGGGGCCAGCTTTTTTACTGGTTTTTCAGTCTTAGGAGCCTGTGCCAAGGACACGGTGGGCTTTTCTTTCCACCTCATCTTTTCCTCAAGATGCGTAGGCTCAGTGTCTTCTGCAAAAGATATTAGGCCCATCTCAAAATGCTTGAGAGGAAGTATTTCTCAGTCTTCTTGTTATACGTCGGGAATAGTTCTCGAGTGTATGAAATGATGTCAGTATTAGAAGGAACTTTCGTGTTTTCTCTGGCGCCTTAATGATGGAAAAATAATCGAAGCACGTCTATCACAAAATCTTCGTGCACTTCAAGCGCTTTTTTTTTATCTCAACATGTAATTTTTAGGACTGTGGCATGTGCAGTCGCGTCGCTTTGAGTCTGGAGGAGTCGTTGGAGATACACGTATATGTTACTTTTTTAGAAATATTAGCTCAGAAATTTACAAAATAATTTCAAAGAGAAATTCCCACATACTAAGATAGTACAAAGATTAAAGTCACTCGACCAGAAAAGCTCCATTGCTATTTCAAAGTGACTTATTGACGAAAACAGTGGGGGTTTCTGTATGAGCAGGACTGTCGTTCCCTTCTCCAAACATAAAAGATGGGAGAAGTCCATAACTTTAAGGATATTGATTGCATTTTCCGATCTGATAATCCTGTGTTCAGATTGGGATAGTACAGACACATATAGCTTGTGAGTCATCCTGTCTACTGATGGACTTGCCGATTGTTCTACAAAGTGGGTTGTCAATTTGGGGCGGGCAAGCTTTACTATTTGATTACGTAAAAGCCAATGCAACACTCCACAATTATTTTTTTTCGAAACAGCGACATTAAAATCAATTCAGTGTATACATTTGCAAGAGCAAGAAATCCCCGGTGTCTCATTGTGATGTTAAGCGATAGAACTCTTCAGGAATGGATTCATCAATCTCCAAACTTCCCCTGGCCATTGTTCGAACGTAATTTGGTTAAACGCAATTTGATCTAAATTACTTTCATTCATCAGAAATAAGGTGTGACTACAACACATTTCTAACCACGTGAGCTGCGGCCTGGCTTTCCAAATCTGGGTTCTCACCAGCCACGTTGAAACTAGTCTTTATGTAATCCTGATGTTTTAAGGCAGCAAAAAGGTAGCAAAGACTCGAAAGAAGGAAAAAGACAGCAATAACAAGTAAGGAGGTGGACATGAGAACCAAGCTCAACCATTGTATCACGCTCATCAACAAGTAGAATCCACAGCGTGGCCAGTTATCGTCGAAGTTACGCACAAAGTTGGTGAATGTGTCTGTCAAGGGACAAATTTTTAACAAGAATGGTACTTCAACAAAAAGCACAATGATACCCTGAATGATAGCGAGCACGGAAAAGATGATAACCAAGTTGAAGTGGAATATGTTGGCGACACCAAGAGCCAAACATAAGATTATCGTGAACAAGGAAATCCACTGCCCGTAAAGAGAGAAGTTTTTCTTCTTGAAATCTGCCGAGAGGCCGCCGAAAACGTTTGAAGAAAGTTTCAGAAAATTGAGTGCCATTGTGATCTCTTGTGTCTTTGAAAGGTCTGTCAATTTTTATGTTTGTAGTTGGAGACTTTCTTAACTAGGTCACGATATTGTGGTCCTTGCGCCACGTGCAGGAGATACTCGGGCTATACGGACAATCTTTGAATCTTCATTATGCGTTCTCAGACCAAAACTCCTGAATTGATTGATATGAGATGGATACAATACTGCTGCGATTGGACATTTAACTTTGATGCTTATTACGAACAGTTGAAAGGTATGTGCTGGGTGGAATAATGCTTCCCAATTCGCCTTAGCATTAGTGCGCACAGGCCGAAGGGCATGTCCATAATGTGCGACCCAGACGTGGGTTTTTAAATTGTGAGATTTAAATTGCGCTTGGGGAAAATTTTGCCAGTTTCGAGCAATGTCTGGACGAACTACCAACGCAGAAATAGAAACAGTTGAATCACAATGCCTTTCTTGAGTCAGTGTTTCGAATTAACTCGAATAGAAGCACCAAGAGAATAAGCTGCACTATGAGATTCTATGAAATGTCACTTTTTGAGGAGTTGTATTTAAGTGTGCGTCTAATGAATTTGCTCACACTCGAAATCTTGTGCATTTTATCAACTATCCGCGTCTATGAAACCCTATCAGGGACAGATCAAGAAAAATTGATCTTCAGATCACTTAAAGTTTTAGCTGAAGTATACAAAAAGAGTAAAATTTAGATCTGGAGAACTCTTCAAACAAAAGTTCAAAACTTGAAGATCCCTTTTGCTTTTGCATTGAGGGAAACGGACTACATTTCTTGCCTTGTTATTGCCCTGACCGTATGGCGACTAAAAATGTAATTGTACACATGTGAATTTATTCTGACATAATTTGCCCATTTGGAACAGGGCCAACTCATATGTCGCGTATGTTACGTTTCTTGCATACGCGGCATCTTTTGCAAAACTCCGTTCTAATGGTAGGGAAGGGTGTTGATTGCCGCGGCCAAAATACGCAAGGGCAACTGCTGAGCACTAGTATGAAACCCCGGTTTTAGCAGTCGTAACCATGTCATCAAATGAAGCCGAGTATAGAAAGATCGAGTCAATTCACTCAAACAAAGTATCTAGCTTTTCAAGCGAGCTCTCTTGAAACTAAAAATTGGCTGCCTCACGATCTTCGAATATAACTATCTCGAGTCAAAGCAAGGACAACTGGTTGACTGCTACTACCAAGACTGGATAGTAATCCTCATGTGTGATTGCCTAGAGTTTGAGTGATGACCTTTGTCCCTTACTTTATAGGTTTACAGCTCTTCTGATCAATTAATGCTTCACATGATGAGAGAAAACAGATAATGTTACGGGATTGTAGCTAAGAAACACCACACACCCGATACAACCTATCAATATTGTCAATCTTTGGAGGTGGGCTCTAATGCTATTTGAAACCCTAGGCTCCTTATATCAATGATACACATGGTTTTTTGTTTCATCTGATAAGTCCATCCAGTGCGTGTTATAAA